TTCGTTAATTCGTCAAGCGAAAATCTACACACTTAGGACTAACTTCCAGTCAACTAGCTCTTAACATTCATTAAAGGTTTCAGTGATTCTTATCAAAATGATATTAAACAAGGCATTCAAGGCTAGCTATTCAGGGGGCTTTTCAATGGTGATGTTTGATGTGTTTAGAGTTATCTTTTTTGGAGAGACATGATATTATGCAAAACAACAAGAGAGGATGAAGCTGTTGAAAGTCCACAGTTTTCAATCACATTCTTCTTGCTTTAATATTTCTTATCTCTTTTCTTCAGGTTCTTCTAATAACTCCCCCAGACTTAGATTTTTGTCTAGGTTGTGAAACAGTAACTCCATTGATGAATACTTGTAGCCTTTGCCCAAAAAATTTCGGCTTCTAGGACTCTTTAGGCTTTTGTTTTCCTTTCCTTTCATTATTTTTCTCTTTTTTTGTTTTTTTTTTTAAGAAAGGGGAAACTACCTTTTGACATAGAGTCTTAGGGAGCACTAAATTTATCTTTCAGAAATGAGCTTTCCGAGGCATCATGAGGCTTACTAAGATTTATGATGCACTTCCTTCCCAGTTTCATTCAGTCGTTTTCTTGAGTGACTGAAAACTATGTTGTTCCTTCCTCTCCGGTGTTTTTGCTCATATCTGCCGATATAAACTTAAGAGAGAATGCATGAGGTTTGAACATAAAGATATGGGTTAAGTGTAAGATACCAGCTAAAGATGAATTGGCCATCTATGACAACAAAGAGTGGTAATAATAAGGTAAAGATATCCTAGATGTATATCGTGATGCCTTTCTTAAAACCATTGATGAGGAAATTAGATGTCAAGATTATGTCCAAGTAAAATGAGTTAGTATATCTTGTCAAAAAAGATCTCCATGAATAGAAGTCCTCTAGTGGGATTTCGTAGTGTAGGTACTGTAGCTACCGCCTAGTCTAGTACTAAACCTTGAAAGAGCTTTTTATGATCGAATGGTGTAAAAGCAAACAGATTGGTTATCATCATTGATTTTGTTATTATTCCCTCAAAACGTATTTGACCTTTGAAAACACATTTTGAAACTCAAAAGATTTTTGAAAATTTTTAAGAAAACCGAAAGAAAAATGAAAAATATTTAAGAGAAATACATAATGCAAGGGCTCATGCAAGAAAAGATGGTTAGCAAGGGATGGAATCCTCCCCCAAACTTAAATTACATTGTCCCTGGTATAAATAAATCAGGTAAGGATGAGAAATAGAGTATGTAATAATCGAAAAGATAAAGGTGTATAAGCAAACAGGTTGGTTATCATCATCGATTTTTTCATTATTTCCTCAAAAAGTATTTGACCTTTGAAAACACATTTTGACATAAAAGGGATCAAAGTGGACAAGGCAAAGATTGATGTGATGATGAGTTTGCAACCGCTGACTACAGTCAAGGGCGTCCGAAGTTTTCTGGGACATGCTGGGTTTTACAGACAGTTCATCAAGGGTTTCTCTAAGATAGCCAGGCTTCTGACGCAGCTGCTGTGCAAGGAGGTGAAATTTGAGTTTGACAGTGCATGTTTAGAGGCGTTCCAGACGATAAAAAGAGCTTTAGTCAGCGCTTTAATTGTCCAGCTACCAGATTGGAACTTACCTTTTGAGGCCAGGATTGATGCCAGCGACTATGCGGTGGGAATAGTTCTGGGTCAAAGGAAAGAAAAGAAGTTTTACGTCATTTACTATGCTAGCTAATAGTGACACAATAGTGACACTATAATTAGAATCACACAATATTGACAGATAAAATATAAAAGCACATGAAATAAAAATTTACAAAAACTAATAATATAATTTAGAAAAATTTGTTGTTATATAGATACACCAATAAGGATAACTAACAAAACACAGGTATTGTTAACATAATACAAACTTAAAAAAAAAAATATTTTAACTAAAACAAAATTATCAAACAAATTACTTTTTAAGAAATAACATATAAAAGTATAAAACTTATAAGAACATGAACATAAATTACAATCCGCGCGAAGCGCGGTCTCAATTCTAATATTAACAAAAATTCTTTGGACTTCAAAATCAATTACGGATTAGCTTCTACTAATACAAAAGAATACTATTAGCCGGTCAGTGTCTGGATGTTCAGAAGTAGGGAGATCTACAAAATACCCATAATACTGAATCGTATAAGCAACCAAACTGTTGAACCTATAGCATAAGACATGACGCAATGTGAGGTAGGCAAACCTGGTGATATTAGAATTTAATTGGAGGGAAACACAACATTTTTAGAGGAAAAAGCTCTATATCTTATCACTCTCGTTTGATTTTGACCATTACCTATAACAGATGGATAAGAAAAACTCTTCAAAATGAGAATCAAACAAACGAAGGGAATAGAGGTTAAGTTAAAAGATGAATTAGGATTAAAAAGACGGTGGTGATCAACGTAATATAGAAGTATTAAGTTGTATCCTTTTGCACTTAGACCCCTAATTTTGTAGCAATTAATAAAGATGAAGATAATATAATCTGGAAAATGGGCTGAATCTTAAGGTAGAAGAAGAGGTCAGAAAAACGTAAATTGATTGTTTCTATTTTTTTTTTAAAAGATAGAAATTTTTTTTAAAAGGCTGATGTGGCAAAATGATGAATGCTTAGATGTGAAGATTATGAGACACCTTTATATAATAGATATTGTAATGTTATTTAAATACAATTACTTCTCTATCTTTGAAGCAAATTAGTAAACTCAGGCTCAAAATTTTATTAGAAATGATTAATATTTTGTTGGGAAGCTGTGCTGCATAGTTGAACTTGAAACTAAACATACGAATTAAAACCAAACTAATTTTTTTTAACCGAACCGAACTCGAAGTTTGGTTTTAGATTCACATATCACCAAAGTAAATGAAGTTTGTGTTTTGATGTGATAATTTTTTACACTCATAACCGATTGAACTTAAACAACAGATTACTGAACTGCGTCGAGTTGAAAATTTATATCAACATAATTTTTAAAATTGGAACTAACCAGAACACTGAATTAACCAAATAAAATCGAAAACTTTTCACGCGATTGAGGTGAAAATTTGGTATATAACATCTTTTTGGTTTGATTCTTGGACTAATCATATATAGTTGTCTTTTTGATTAACTTGGTGAGCGAGGTAGAATTGATCTCGGTGTATCTTTATATGCCACGGCTGATGATGCTATGGATGATATGAGGAGAAGAAAACATTGTAGACCAATACTTAATGAGATTGAGGTGGAGCTATTAATTATAAATAAAGCAAAATCGATATATGCATGAGGTTGATAAGGCATTACGGATGGGTAAGAGTGGGTTGTTTAAACCTAAATCATTTATCCATAGGATGCAGCATCGGGGTGAGAATATCAACACAAGCTGTGTTTTTTTGTGCTGATCCGATTGAGTAAAGGGACCATATTTTCTTCTCTTGTTCTTTCACGGCACAGTTATGTGAGTGACTGGGGCTTATCGAACTATCTCGAGATCACTCGACATTTCCTTGTAAGATATGCATTTCAAATTTAGTGTGCATGAATTGGAGAGAAAGAAATACTAGACGTCTTGAAGATTCTCCTTCTGACAGTTCATCGGCTCGTCAAAATGATTGACGATAACATTAGAATCAACTTTATTTGATTCGCCAAAGTTGAGATAATCGATACGAAAATGGTTTGCGAGTTTGGTTCCAACAAGAGATTTTTTTCTTTATTTAAACTTTCACAAAAGATGGAAATTAAAACTGAAAACAGTTTGGTTTTTTTCTTTGAATTTAATTTGACTTTATATTCAAAATTAAAAAAAAACAAAAAACAAAAAACAAATCAACTATTCTGAATAAACCAAATTGGCTGGCGTAGTAGAGAACTATAATACTAGAACTACTAGTTTTTTTTTTTCCGACTAGAACTACTAGTTATCTAGTATATAAAATAGATGAAGGGAACTCTTCAATTATTGACATATCATCATTTATTAGCAAATAAAATATTCATATATATATATATATATATATCTATACAACTAATATACATATAAAAATTGTTAAATTTGAATTTAACTATGTTAAATTTATTGAATTATAAGAATAAAAGAAATGATAATTGTGATTTATTAACGTCATATTAATAAAGATAGTTTTATATTCAATGAAATTGAAAAAAAAATGATGAAGCCAAAAATAAAAACAATTGATTGATAAAGTTTTAAACAACCGAAGAAGAAACAAAAAAAAACTATAAAAAAACAAAAAAAATCACAAAGAAATTGAATAAATAATTTAAGAGATAACATTTTATCAAAAGTACAAAAAAAAATACAGAGAAAAAAAAACAGAAAAAAATAAAAATAGAACCTGAAAGGTTTGTAAAAATGGAAACTGAAAAAATTAAACTATTGAAATTTAAAATTATTGCAAAATCAAAATTGTTGCAAAATCAAAGAATTATAGATTGAAGAGATACTAGAGTCATCAAGGAAAAAAAACACAACAGAAATTGATAGTTAACTTAAAAAAATAAATTTACTTATAATACAAAATAAAACAAAATCTACTTATATCACTAGTTTTCTCCTTCTATTATGTAATTTTAAATTTAAAACTTAAACAATTCTATAATCTGTAACAAATATTCTCAACAATCATATTTCATAACTGAGATTTAAACGAAACTTTAAATACAAATAGTGCATAACTTTTCTAGTTCTAATATAAAAAGCACCTTTATGAAAGAGATATTGTATATCTGTGGAAAAAGGGAGGAAGGAAACACAGGCTAAAGTATTAAACCAACAAATGACATAAAATAAAAACAAAAGTATCACAAATTCATAACATTAAAAACCATAATCATTCTGAAAATAAACTCAAAACACAACCATAGTAAAAATAAGAACTAGAAAATGACAACAATAAAAAAAGCATTTGAGAATATATTTTTTTTTTCTCATAATGTGAACATTCAATCTCGAACATTAACGGAACCATATATTATTGTTAGTATTTGGACTGGTAACAGAGATGATACTGCTTGAGCTGACAATGGTCGGATCTGTAGAGAAATTGCTCAGGATTCGCTGTTGTTGATGGTGGTGGTTGCGGTGGTTATCATCCATGAATGGAAAACTCATGTGCTCAGCTGCATAACTTATTTGCTCAGGATGATTCATTCTCTCTATAAAAAATTGTTGTTGGTTCTGATTATGATTTTGATTTAGATTCAGATTCCATGTTTGCTCATAGAATCCAACATGTGGAACTGGTGGATGGCGATATTGTTGCTGATGATGATGATGCTGAAAAGGGTTAAAGAAAGCTGCGTCAGCAGCAAATGAGGAGGATGAACCCACCTCATGAATAACAGCAGTTGGAGCGGTTGTAGTGGTTACAATTGCAGCCGCATTGCCCATCTCCATACCAGCATTCCCCAAAATCTCGATCTTGCGATTAATATCCTTAAGATATTGTTCAATCATATAGCCTAAATCATTAAGATCAATAATATTGAGATGAAACATCCCTGTGTTTCCGACCAAACACTGGAACATAATTTCAGTCATCTCCATCTCCCTGTTGTCCTTCTTCTGTTTCTTCAAATGTTCGGACGCTTTGGCGATCCTCTGTTTGAGAAATAATTCTTGGTCCACCATTTTCTTGTGTTGGTCCATCGCGGGTAATATCTGAAAATCAGAAACTATCCTTTGCACACCAGAATTTGATGGCCACACCTCAGGATTGGAGTCATATGGACTGTAGATGATGGCACATGCAGTGATACCGCAGAGGGTCGAGAGTTCGTTCACTTTCTTCAATAAACCTTTCTTTCTTTTCTTAAAAGTTGCTTTCCTCGACGAGTCATTTGCAATGTACGCAAGCTTCACCTTCTTTCTCGTCATAATGGATTTTTTTCTTGCTTTTCTCTCTTTTCTTTTTCTCTCTTTTTTTTTGTCTTTTTGTTTGTTTGTGTGTTGTGAATTAACTTCGAGAATGAATCATGTTATATAGTGATAGAGAAGTATGAAGATATATCTCTTTTAATTAGAGATTTTATTATTTAATTTATAGTTAATCAAAAATATAAAAATATTTATGATCAATATAATTAGTAAAAATCTATTTAATTATTTCAATATCTTACTCACTTAGAAACAGATCACAATAGTAAAAAATCTATGGTTATTGCAAATATTTGAGAGAATTTCAAAGATTTGCTTTTATTAATAGGTCAAATTTTCTTCTCAATACATTTCTGTTGATATTTTTCTTTATTAGAGACTTTGAATGTGGGTTTTTGACTTGTAAAGTAACCAAAAACTAGAGCATTATACAGATCATTCTCAAAAAGTCATAGTTATAGATCTCGTCCTTTTATGACTATATATTATGCCTAGGTTCGAACTTACAATATATATTTTATATCTTTTAACAAAAAAAAAACTTACAATACTCATAGTAAATTCTAGATTTTTATAACTTAAACATTTAGAGTCTAAAGACATACAAATAGTTGATGTTTCTTAGAGTAGAAATGTTGGAAAAAAAAAAACAAGAAGATGGAAGACTATTTTGTGACCAACTTCTATTTGTCATTATAAGATGATCACACTTTAATATTATATACTTTTGGAAGATATTGTTTTCTATTATTTAATTTGTTTTAGAATATCTTAAATTATGAACGTAATATTGCATTTAGAAGGCAGATTCTAGATATTTGTTCAGTTTTGAATAGAGAGATACATGTATTTTATGTATTTCTAGTACCAATTTAAGAAATAAAATGTAATAAAATTGTCTAGCATTTATTTTCAATATTCAATAATTTTTTTTGAAAAAGTAAAGTTTCATAAGTTGTAAATATATTTTGATAATGAATACATCTTCAAAATAAAATAAAGGCATTACAAACACAGAACTTATAGTCGTTACCTAAATATTTCTGTGATAAAGTAAATATATACGAAATTAAACTCAATTATAGATAAATTATGAATAATAAATGAAATCATTATGTTTTGAAGTAGATATTTCAAGGTTAACCATATAATATAAAATGAGTTAATTTATATATTTAATTTGTCTGATTAACCACTTTGTTTTGTAATTATATCCTTGAATACTATAATATTTTTTCCGGTTCTAATTATAATAAATAATATGTAATATTTTTCGATTTCCAATTAGAGGTTTTGATTTTTTGCATCATAATTCGTTTCTAGAATTCAATGTTCGAACCGACCAGGAAAAAATCAAATTTTATAGTTATTTTTATAGGGGGTATCCAAATCTAATATTACACCAAACTTAACTTAATTAAACCAAAAGAAGTAGTGGTTCAAAGTTTTGCTTAAATCTTATGTAGAATTATGCCTGATTTTAAGTTGAAGTGGAAACTATTGCTTTGACTCATATAATTTTTAAGAAAGTTTGTAATCCCTTGTCTAGTATATATATAACGGGTGAGCAGCTTATAACGTTGAAAAAGCCCTATAAACACAAACAAATCTACTGAATTTATATTCATATTATTTATCTATATAAAATTATGTAATGTTGTAAACTAGATTTATGTTAATGATTCCAAAATCTAGATATTATAGTCGAATCTACGAAGTTCAAACTCCAAAATGTTGTGCCGGTTGAAATTTTAGTTTACAAACTAATTCAAATGGTAATAAAAAATAATAGAGTTAATGCATGAAACTATCCTCCTAAGCATGGTTTATTGCCAGAGTATCCTTCGATAAGTCTACAATGCTAGACTATCCTTATAAAATTTGTCAATGTCCATTTTATCCATATGTTAGACATTACCACAAAATTACCATTATTTTTTTATTTTAAAAAAATTTTGTGTAGGAATTTTTTTATGAAAATAATAAAGTAATTAAAAAATGAATTAAGTTAAGAAAGTCATAAGTTGGGTTCTAAAAAAAAAAATCCTCAGCGACGACATAATGGCAATTGGCGACGAACTAGGGTTCGTTTTTCTCCAACCAGATTCCGGCGTGGACTGAATGTTTTCCGGTAAGGATCTTCTTCCCTGCACTTTGCTGTACTTTCCTCTTTGTTAAGGGAAGTTTCTGCGGAGTTTGACGGCGACGAAGAGGTTGCGACGACGAGGACAAGTTTGCAGAGTTACGACGACGAGAAAGAGTTTACGACGACGAGAAAAAATTTACGACGATGGCTTCTGACGAGTCAAGTCGTCTCCGCGGTGAAGTTGGAGCTTGCGGCGGCGGCAGCAGCGATTTTTTGTGAAAAATCTAACCCTAATTTTTTTTTTGCAGGTGTTAGGCAAAATTCCGGTAGGTTAAGAGAAATTCCGGTGTGGGTGACGAAATTCCAATAAGGGTGAAGAATTTGCGGTGAGTCATGGTTATTGTATGGTCGATTTCTTCATAACATTGTGGTCGATTTGTTTAGTTTTCATGGTAGATTTAAATGGTATAGTATAGTTTGGTAGACTTGGTTATAAATGATAGAATTTTGTTTGGTATACTTGTTCATAAATGATAGATACTGGTAGACTTGTTTGTATGCTGGTAGATTTAAATGGTATATTATAGTTTGGTAGACTTGGAGATACAGTTTTCAATGATATCATGAAAAACTCTCATGTAAGCTTGCTTTTATTTAGTAGATTTGCTGTGTAGTTTGGTAGATTTGTTTGTTAATGATTGTACATAGAGTTATCGTTTTAATATGGTAGATTTGTAGTCGTATATTTGAACTTTGCATATGAATGATGACATTTGTTTGTTCTTCTCTAACAGGTTATACGCTTTGCTGTAACTCCGATGGAATTTTCAGCATCGATCCGGCGTGTTATTATACAGACTAGGATAAGACCTGCGTGTATACGCAGATTTGTATATTAAATATATTTTCTAACTTGTATTTAGTATAAAATGATATATATATTTGTTATTACGTCTGTAGGAGTTACTATTTGATTTGTAGGAAAAATATCCTAACAAATACAACATAGAAGATTGAGTATTCGATGAATTTGTTTTAATACTGCATAATTAACTTTTATTTTCCAATTTTTTATTAAACAAATAAACATAAAATATGACAATGATCTTATAATAGGGATATTGTGATGAGTCTTTCATAAGTAAAAATTGTTTGACTTTCATCCCTCCTAATTTCTTTGCCTTTTTTTTTGCAGGTTGTGCATTCGTCTCCCCCAAACCTCAAAGTCATTCACCATGTATTACCACCATGTTTAAATGTGCTAATTGATTTATAACATTCTTTTTCAGCATCAAAGAGTCCAATTGCATAATAGAAAATTTAATGTTTAACGCCTATAACGGTTTGAATATCTTCATAGCTCATAAAATTTCTTTTCTGATTTATCATCATTCATAGATAATATATCTCAGATGATGATGAATGAGTGTTAAATATCTTACTGGTGCTTTTTCCTCTTTTTTGTGTTTCTCTTGTCGAGAGAATTTCCTTTACATCTGTCTCAAACCCAATGCTAATGAAGTTGAGATGTTTCATACAATTGAGAGCTATTTTAGGTTTGCAATTCATCATGGCAAGGAGGTGGTTGATTGGAGATACACATGCACCCTACCATAGCATAATTTCCTTCATTCGTCCACCACATGATTGCTAATACACACATACCTACAATAGCAACAATAGTTTACTTTTTCCCCCTAAAAAAATATAGAAGACATTAGAAAAAATGTGGAGCAAATGAATAACAAAGAAAAATATTTTGTTTATTAAAAAAAAATTAATTTAGAGTTGCACTCAGATGTAAAGATAGCTTTTTTATTTTGAATAAATTTTACATTTAACTAAAAATACAAAAAAAAAGTAAGCAGCTGCCATATACTAATAGAAATTAACATTAATAAAATAGAAAAGAGAGAAAAATACCATAGAGCCATTTTAACACATAGTTAGTACTTAATCTTCACCAGATATCCAAAACATATTAACATACATAATATTTACTTCAAATGAAAGTGAAGAAGAAGAAGGGACATAGTTTGTTGGTTTATCTCATGTAACAAAGTAAACTCAATTCCAAAGGGTATAAAACGTAGCATAAACATATGCAATCTAGTACTTCAATTCATGGCTGCTTGTAGCTTAATATATGGGAAACAAATAGCATATATTTGAGGAAAAGAAAAATACAGAAGAGAACAATTCACTTTTTGTGAGAGCCTCGATATCCAAAGTTGGTCAGAAATCTAGGTCTATTTGAGAGTCGATACTCAATTAATTCTCTTACGGGTAAAAAGGATATTGGTGTTATTGAATTGGGGTCATAAACGCAGCTTTGAGATCATGAGTCTACATTTTTATATGAAGTGAACAGCAAAAAACAAATAATTGTTTATGCATTTGTAAGATAGAGAATGTAAACCTAACAAATGGGTTATTGTCTATGCATTTGCTAACCTAACAATTTACCGAGATAATCAAAAGAAAATAGTAAATTAGTTAAACTATCAAATGGGTTATTGTCTACAATTTGGAATCAGCAGCCTTCATATAGTAGAAAGAAGATAAAAACAAAATGAAAGATGAAACTGAGAGTGAATAAAAAGAAGCTTAAAAGATTCGACTACAACAGATAGATGAAATGTAGAAGATGAAGTTTCGTTAAGATGAGAAGTTAAATACAAATATGACATAATAATATGAAGGAGCCGAAGAGCCAGGATGTCAATATCAATAAAAATGCATAACTTTTTGCATTAATTTTTTTTTTTTATCAAATGTAATTGTAAAAATTAATTTTAAAGCTGATGTGTCAAAATAGTAGATGCTGATGTGTCAAGATTGTGAGATACAACTCAACTTTTATATAATAGATATTGTAGATACAGATTTGATAGATTTGTTTTTAAATAGATGG